ATCCAGTGCTTCATTTTTTTTAGAAGAATCCATCAATTCAGTTAATTTCAATGTTAACAAAAGGGTTCTAAAAACGATCTTTTATATATAAATGCTCTTAAAAATGGAATATCTAACATACGATCAAAAACTTTTATTTGAGAATAGTAGAGTAACCTTCCATTGTCACTTTATATTCATGCATTTGTACAATAAGCCGTTGGCTGCCATGTGAAAATTCAAATGTCCAAAACAGGTTTAATGCCTCAAATCCTTCGTGAAATATAAATTTGTTGCATTGAATCAAGTGATGGTTATGGTTATTCATGTGTAAAACTCCTTCTATGAACATATTTAATTGGCAAAAAATGAAAAATGATATGTTTTTTTTTTGTACTCCCCCGTCCTGAAATAACTTTTCTACTTTCCTTTTCGGTTCGTCCCATAATAATTGTCATGTTTCTTTTTTTGGTAATAATGTGTGGCTCATATCAATTCACCTTTTTCTACTCAAATTCCAACCACAACTTTTACCTCTTCAACCACTTTCTTAAAACTTGTGCTAAAGCAAACAAAACGTTTATTTTGGGACGGAGGAAGTATAATTTAAAAATTTTAACAAATTTACATGCATATGTAGTCATATTATTAAGAAAAGTGATTTCAAATTTATAAAATTTGTTTTGGGGGGGGGGGGGGGGGGGGGGGGTTGCGCATGAATAATTATAACACAGGGAGGTATGCCGCATTTTTTGAATCACACAAGGGTTTGGTTCATATTCATGCTTTCAAAACCTACTCATTCCATTCCGTAAAATTTGAGCAAAATTGACTTACATATAAAATAAAAAAAATAAAAACAGTTTGGTTTAGACTTTAGTAAAAGAAAGAAAGAAAAAAAACCATAAATTTATACTTACTAACCACTTCAATCTTGCATTTTTAAAGAACAATTATTTAACCCTCGATTTTGATTATTCTTACTATTTACTCCTCTAATTGTTAAATTTACTATTTACCCCTCCAATCGTTAAATATACTGAAATTTTTAGAAATTTCATGCTTTTATAAGTCAAAAAACTCATCATGATTATAAACCATATTTGTTTCTTGATATTTTTTCTTTTCTACTGGCGGAAGAAATTTCAGTAAGATTATTTAAAGCGAGATGAATTAAAGATAGGACTTTGTATTCATATCGAACACATGCATAGAATTTTAGAATAAATATTTTAAACAAATTTCTTTGATACATCTCAGACATCTCGAGTTATTCTTCTCCCTCAACTATTTTATTACGGAGTAATATTTATTCCATGAGTAGCCAGGTAGAAATATAGCAATCAACCAATTACGTTGATGAGTTTTTTTTTTTTACTTTTACAGTGAATATTGTAAACAATTTTTATTGAATTTGATAGTTATATCAAATTTAATTAAATAAATATTAGGTTTAAATATAGTTTTATTCCCTGCAAATAGTACACACTTTGTTTTAGGTCCCTTCAAAATATTTTCTTTATTTTTCATACCTGTAATATGCGCTATTTTGATTTTAGTCCATCTCTAACTCTGAAATAACTCTACTTAGATTTTTTATTATGGGTTGCGTAAATCTACTAGAAACATTTAAATTTCTCAGTTTATAATTTTTTTAGGCTAAGAAGAGATTTAAAACAATATTAAAACTAATTATTCCTAGTTTAAAAATATTTATTAAAAACCTTTTAAAAATGAAATTAAATACTTTGTGAATGGCATGACAAAGAATTAAAGGATAACTATTAGTCAGGATTGTTTTGTTGTCAAACGGAGGTTGTTATCATTAGTCATAGACTACAAAGAAAATCAACATAAGTTTGAGGGATGAAAAACAAAAAAAAAATATTTTGCAATGACCTAAAACAAAATGTGCTATATTTGCAGAGACTAAAAACACATTTAAACCTAAATATTAATATGAGGGGGCAAATAATGAAAATAATAAAAATTCAGGGGATAATTATTGGGGGTGTTTGGCAAATGGCTGTTGGTTGTTGGCTGATTGCGTTGGCTGATTAATGACAGCGGATTCTCTTGGTTGTTTTGATCACGTGATAGTATTAACAGTTTGTAAAATGGCGTTTGGTTAAATGACTGCTTACAATCAGCTGATAATTTTTTAATGACTTTTAAGGACATCAATTAATTTTTTATTTACTAACTACTTTTTATATACGTGTTATAAATTTTGTCAATGGTATTTGCATGACTAGCCCATAACTATTTTTATGATTTACAAAAACTAAAAAATATTATAAAAAAACTATATACATAATTATTAATGTATTAATAAACTAAAATACTTATAAGAGAAAATTAATTCTAATATGACTAAAAGATTATCTTTTTCCCAATCTATGACTTAGTCACTCTTTTTCCTAATTTGTTGGGAGAATGATATGCTACCCACGTTCCATATGCATTAGGTAAAAAAATTATTTTGCTTGTTTTTCGATTACTGTACTCACGGTTACTAACTTTTGGTCATATTTTGATCAATTAAGTTTTTAATTCATACCATGAGAAATCCACTCTCTTTTAGTAATAGTGCGCAAATTATATGGTGCAACCGGCGCACCATGAGGATGGTGCGCCCGGTTGCAAAAACGACGCATCAATTGTTTTTTTTTTTACTTTTGATGTTAAAAATGATAATAACTTTTTTATTTTTGATCCGATTTTTATAAAATTTATATCAACATTTTTTATTTTTCATGATCTTTCAAATGAGACCAATATTGGGTATGTAATTTTAAGAAATTATCGAACTATTATATTAATGAGTATTGGATTATAAGAAAAATCGAATCTGTTTGGGAGATTATAGGTTTGTGAAATAGAAGATCGAATTTGTTTGGGAGTGGATCAGTGGCCTCAGTTACATTTGATAATACATTGAGTTACATCTTTTTATGAGTGAGTTACATCTTTTTATAAGCAAGTTACATCTTTTTATAAGCGAGTTACATCTTTTTATAAGCAAGTTACATCTTTTTATAAGCGAGTTACATATATATATACACACGAGTTGCATTTGACATGTCTGAACGCGACTTACATATATTTACACGTAAAGTTACATATTTTTACACGTAAAGTTACATATTTATACACGCGAGTTACATATTTATACACACGAGTTGTATATGACCTGTCTGAATGCGAGTTACATATTTTTTTTAATTAAAGTTACATATTGTTACACGTAGAGATACATATTTATACACACGAGTTGCATTTGACTTGACTGAACATGAGTTACATATTTTAACACTTAAAGTTACATATTTCACACACAAATGTTAATATGTTAAAATTACATAGGCAATATTGGTCTCATTTGAAAGATCATGAAAAATAAAAAATATTGATATAAATTTTATAAAAATCGGATCAAAAATAAAAAAGTTAATACCATTTTTTAAAAGCAAAAGGAAAAAAAAAATATAAATCCGTCCCGGTATACGGTACTCACCGTATACCGGTTGCACTGTATACGCACTCGTAATAGTGGGGTAAATTTCCCTACTTATAACCGTTATAAGTAAAATATATACTAAGAACTATTCTGTAACAAAAATTAACGAAAAATGTTTTTAAATATTAATGTTATCATAATTAAAATACTAGTGATCACTTCATTGTAACACACTAACACCTAATGCATCCTAAAAAAATTCACAGTAAATTAGAGGCACCTAAATTTCAAAACATGGAACGTTGGATACAATTCATGGCACCTAAATTACTAAGTTCAAGCTACTTGTAAATTAGAGGCTAAGAGCATCTATGGCGGGCCTAAACGTAGTAGCTGAATTAGCTATACAAAATAAAAATAAAAAATCTGATTAAATAAAATAAAGAAACTAATATGGATCGGAGCATCTAAAAATGAAGGCAAAGTATGAGGCTATGAGCCGTGGGACTAAAATAGCAGCAAAACTCAATTTCACTACGAGCCATTGGGAATAAATAGCGGCTAAAACCTAATTTTAGTAGGGGTTGAAATAAAAAGTAAAAAAGAAATTAGCAACAACCTATTTGATAAAAAAAGGATGACATCCCATCCCTGAAGACCCCCAACCCCGACCAGACGGTACATTGGGAGGATGTAAATTGGACTATAATCTCAATCTGACAGATAGAGAGTGTGGCTCTATATGCAGTTTTTTGTCGAGAAGGAGAATTAGTGAAGAGAAGGGCAGCAGTGTAGAATTATGTGTGGGTAGATTATGGAAATTGGGGGAGAAACTGAATCAACAGATGCCTAAACGCCAGGTTTTGTGGTTTTTTATAATTTGGCTGTTTGATAAAAAGCTAAATAAAAAACCAGGTAACTAAACACTCCTATTAGCTGATTCATCCGGTCAAACTGCCAAATATTGATCAAAACAGCCAAAAAATGATCGATAGACCATAAACCAAACACCCCATTGTTTTGAGATGCAAAATTGAAGTAGTGGGGGGTAACATAAATTCAAGTGGGTAATAGTAACTTTCCTTTGGTTTACTACATTAAATGAAATTGGAGAACTTCTTAGACACTTTTTTTTATGATAATTAGACACTTGAATAATGAAAATTGGTAAAATTTTACGTGACAGAGTAATACAAATACCCAAATAGGGATTAAAACTCAAACATCATCCATTAACCGCTAACAAGTGATCACCAAAAAGGCCTATCTTGTACTCCGTATTATTTGATACGATATATTACCAAATTAAACCAGACAATGTTTCGTTTGACCAATTCGGATTTGTTACTCCATAAAAAAATGTGTAAACCATTATTTTTAAAGTCTGTTTTTAGCTTTTACTACGTATTTCTTTTCAGTGGATTAGAATTAATATTAACAAATTAAAACAAAATTGCGCATATTTCATTATGGTTCAGTTGGTCAAAGGACTCAAAGCCAACCATAATGCCTACAGCCCCCACACAGCTAAACTATGCAATACAATAATAATAGATTAATAGGGCATGATGTGTTTCCAGCCAGAACCATTGATACAGACAAATTCCCACTAAATTTTCCCATAAACAAATGCAATTTGGACAACCACAATATTCACATACACAGGATAAAATGCACGCAAGCTGAGTCACAATCACAAGACTATTCTAATGTGGAGCCAACTAAACGTTCCAAATAGTAAGCTAAGCCTTTTTTTTTTGAGAGGAAATAGTAAGCTAGCTGGAAATGACTACAGGCAAGTAACGCATTTCATTTCAAGGAGAATGAGAAAAGAATGTCAATAGAAGAAAAACTCAAACCACAATCTGAAATGACAAAATAAAAAGAATCATCTGAATTCTGAGGGGAAAAATACATGTAAAATGTTCATCATTATACTATAAAGTTGAAGAACAGAACAAAAAGCAGGAAAAAGGATATTAAAAAGGGGAAAAAAGGATAATACAATGAAATCCACAAACCAGAACCAGCAACAGCAGTAAGCAAGCCGGTTGATTCTGGCCGACAATATGGCATCATCTATACAGACACTTCCCTGCAAATCTATTTTTCTCAGCAAACTTATTTCTCCACAACCATTACACTTTCAAATCATTTTCCAGGCGAGTATTCTCCTCTGACTTTTTCCATTGACACCTACTTGCCCGAACAATCCAACCAGAAACAGTAATACCCAAACACCAATTACACATTCCTGGTACCCATGTTGAATCTCTAATTTGATCATTGTTTCAGAACCGTGATTTATCAAAATATTGGGATCGCCACATGATAGGAATGACTTGCAGAGAAGTATATTGGCCACATGAAATGATAATAACAACTAAAGCCAAGACATCTAGTCTAATTGTAGGTATAGTATTTGTTTCTTGAGGACAGGTTATAGGAAATTCTCAAAAGAATCAATAGTAGGGTGGAGGTGGGGGTGATGCATATGGAACTCCCGTGATCGGAGGCAAAGGCCCTTGGAATACTGGGGTGGGAGGCGGGCTGGCATCCGTAATTGGTGGTGGGGGGAAATGTTCGCATGGTTCTGGTGCTGGGGCTGGTGGTGATGTGGACGGTGAAGGAGGGGAGTGGTAATAGACTGGGGGGGAGGGGGATGAGGATTGCGGAGGTGGGGAATGAGGGTTATGTGGAGATGATGGTGGAGGAGTTGACGGATATGGTGGGGGTGGGGAATTGTAATGGACAGGTGGCAGGGGCGATGGAGATGGTGGTGGCAAGTAAACATATGGAGGGGGTGGAGGAAGTTCTATACAAGGAGGGGGCGGTGGAGGTTCTATACATGGAACAGGGGACGGTGGCGGTGGTGAATGAGGTGGAGGTGGTGAAGAGTAGACTGGGGGAGGAGGAGGTGATGAATAGTAGTGTGCAGGCGGTGGAGGTGGAGAGTTAGGCGGTGGAGGTGGAGAGTGAGGCGGTGGAGGTGGAAAATGTGACGGTGGAGGTGGAAAGTAATGGTCTGGAGGGGGAGGGGAATAAAAAGGAGGTGGAGGACAGTGAGGCGGTGGTGGTGGCGATCGTACACAATAAGGCAGGGGTGATGGCTGGGGCTGTGATGGTGGAGTTGGAGACATGGATGGCGAAGGGGGTGATGGGGGTTGTGGAGATTGGTTAGATGGTGATGGTGGAGGAGGTGATGGCGGTGGTGGAGATGGGGGAGGAAGTGACGGTGGAGTTGGAGATATGACCGGTGGGGGCGGTGATGGTGGTGGGGGTGATGGAGAAGGCGGTGGGAGTGATGGAGACGGTGGTGGGATTGGTGGTGGGGGCGATGGAGAAGGCGGTGGTGGGGGTGATGGAGAAGGAGGTGGAGGGGGGGACGGAGAAGGGGGTGGGGGTGGAGGGGGGGAATGTGGTGGTGGTGGCGGCTGGGAATGAACAGGTGGTGGTGGTGGTGGTGGTGGAGGTCGAGATGGCGATGGCGGAGAGTGAGAAACCGGCGATGGTGGTGGAGATGGTGGCACAAATGTCGTCGGTGCAGATGGTGGCACAAATACCGGCGGGGGAGGTGATGGCAAAGCGGGAATGAACTTGTGACACTTAAAAGCACCGCAATGTATTTTCTTAGACAAGAAGGCACTGCACTGCGCAGCAGACCGCTGGAAAGGTCGTCTCGGCAAACAATTCCGGCGATCATCAAAGGCCGGCAAAGACAAACAAGCCGGTGGCTCACCACTAAAGAAATTATAAGAGAAAGTAAAGTTCTCGAGCCGGGGAAGCTTACATATACTTTGAGGTATCTGCCCGGAAAGCATGTTATGGCCGACATTGAACTGCTCCAGACTGGTCATCCCGCCGATCTGCTCCGGCAACGGCGCCAACAGCTGGTTAAAGCTGACATCGAACACCGTCACGTTCTTCAAATTTCCGATTTGCGGCGGAAAGCAAGACCTCAACCCATTGTTCATCAAAATAATCTCGTTCAGATCACTCATATTCCCGATACTCGCGGGTAAACAGCCATGGAATTTATTGTTGGCCACAACAATGACCGACACCGGAGAATTCCCAAAATTAGCCGGCAGCTCGAAGGAGAACCGATTGTCATTGATGAAAATTGCATCCAAAGGCTTATCAAAGAGCTCCGACGGCACCGTACCTTCAAACTCATTGAAACGGATGTCCAAATAGATCAATTGCGGCAAGCTGAGAACGACGTAAGGGAACTTCCCAGCGAAGCGATTGTTACTCAGATCCAGCTCAAACAGCAACCTCAAGTTCTTAAACTTCTTCGGAATAGTGCCGCAAAACCGGTTGGAGTTGATGTGGAAGACCGCGAGATCTGTGAGCAGGCCGAGCTCCTCCGGGAGGTATCCAGCAATGTCGCCGTGGTTGAGGTCAATGGTGGCTACTGTCCGGACATTCGGGTCATCCAGCGCCTGCGCGCAGTAGACTCCGGTGTAATTACAGACATCCGATCCTATCCAGTTCCCCGTCGTGTTGAACGGATCCGAGAGCACAGCCTGCTTCCAAGCTTGGAGCGCAATATACGCTCTTCGAATCCTGGGGTTCTCGAAGGTCAAAGACGGGTCAACGGTGACCTTCTCGCCCCGATCCTGGAACTCGTCGAGGTAGTACAGCAGCTGCCGGCGGCGGATGTACTGCGCCTCGGAGTCCGACAAGGGGCCATAGTCAGAGACCTGGAAGCCTGCAACAGAGGAGAATGCGGAGAAAACAGAGGCTAAGAAGAAGCAAAAACAAAGCAACGATGAAACTCCCTTCTTCTTCATATCACTCCAGACATCTGAGAACCTGCCGGAGGTGGCGTTGGGGAAGTCCGGCGAGAGACTGAATGTGGGTTGGGAGAAGGAAACAGATAGATCTGAGTGAATGGGAAGGAAGAAAATGGAGTGAGAGGCTTTAATTATTCGGTGGATAGAGGTTTGGGAAGCGCGTGATGGAGAAGGGAGGAGGAAAATGGAGAGTAGTGAAGACAGCTAAATCACAGCTCAAGCCACTCTCTCTCTCTTTCCTCAACTTTATTCTTTTGGGTGCCCTAGCGACGCGGTTGTTCGATATTCATAATCTATTTAGTTTTTGGTCGGTTTCTTTTTTAATACTCCGTGGCATTTATTTTCCCTTTTTCTTTTGTTTAATAAAATAAGTATTGCATTTCATATTCATACATTTTTTGTTTAGGTAAGATGACTCAAATTTCGAGTTCTTACTTTAGCACCCATGAGATAGAAGTTGAGAGTTCAAGCACATGTTCATTTCTAGTTTCAACTAAAAAAGAAGTGAACCCCAATGGTCAGATCGATTGATCCATGGTCGCTGATTTCCATGTTGCAGCGAGAACCTACCCCTCTCGATTTCAAAAATTGATCCCCTCTCCTATCGCCATGTCCATGTCTGCTCAGATTTAAATCATCATGAATCTAGGTTCATTTATAGTGGATTTTTTTGTGCACAAGTGTGATTTTGCTTTATCTTCTTGTTATATGCTTTGATTAAACATTAATCATATTCGGTATACACTTAAATAAGCAGATCGAGTTTTCTCTCTATGATTTTTTATTCTTTTGGACGTTTCTATGAGTGATCTGCGAATCGTGCAGCTCACGCATTAGCTGGAGCTCATGTCGTTATCTCAGATCATAGTAGTAGCTACAATATGATACCGGAGTGCATTGTAAGTCATGTAGCAAATGACTCTTTAACTTAATGAAAGGCTTGTGATTCGATTTTAAAAAAATATGTAATAAAAAGATTAATCAAATCAGGACAGAGACTTTTGTAATTATAACTACGTACATTAAGCCGCAAATATACGAGTATTATGAAAAGGAGAGCAATTTGTAGTATTGATATGGTGGTTTGGTTTGATCTCATAATTATGATCTCGTGTATTTTATATCTGTCAAAGTTTGATCTTATCTAATTTGGTCTAGGACTGAAATAAGTTCAAATAAAAACATATTAAATCCTCGAAACAAATTTAAAGCTCTACAGTCGTTAGAGTTTAATACTCCAAGCGCAATATGGGCAGGGCCGGCCCTGATAGTTTCAAGACTGACGTGCAGATAATTCACAATGGGCCTAATTAAAAATATATATATTGAAAAAATATTCTTTGGTAAAATGTAATGCATAACAATAGTACTTCAAAATTTGTAATAATAATAATAAAAATTATAATTCGCCGTATTAAACAAGTAATATCATGGTTTGAGAAATTCTTTTATTACACGTTGAAATTATTTAAATTTATAAATTAAGGAAAATTCAATTTTTTACTGAAGAGATGATAAAACCATCACAAAATCACAATTTAATTACACAACCAATTTTTACTAAAAAGCTAAAACATATTCCCAATTTATGTGTTTAAAAAAATAATATCACTACTCCATCTGTCCCAAAATGATTTGAAAGTCAACTTTTATTGGTTAATAGAGTTTCACTTTTTTTATAATACAGTTTTAGTTTATCAACTTGTTTAAAATATCAATTTTTTATTATATTCCAATTCGGATTCTACAACTTTATAGCAATTTTTAATGTAGTTTCTGAATATGTAAATTTTAAGTATTAAAATTGATTTAAACTTCCACGCGGATGATTTAGTTTTAAATTCACAAATTACAACTCAATTTGGGTTTGAGAAAATATAAATTTGAACTCACGATTTCACGATCAATAACACCAGGGCCGTCCCTGAGAATTCTAGGACCCTGTGCGAACAAAAAAATTGGGTCTTTTTTCTAATGCAAAGAAAAACCAAATGTATTTACCTTTGTGTACATAATATAAACCAATTTTTACTATGTAATAAATTTTATGAATCAAAATCATTTCGAAAAGAAAAAAGTAAATAAGGATATGTAAATCCACTATGATTTAAAAGAGCAAAAGTAAAAAATAAAATCACAGAAGCTTGCACAAAGCTTCGAACACATAACCTGTAACCTAAGCCTATTGGTACTCCACTCGTGTCTTTCCACTGTGCTGTCGAAGAGTTAGCTACTGTTAATAGCATTAAGAGATATAAACTAATACTGGTAGTAATTTTTGGGCCTTCATTTTATATGGGCCCTGTGCCATTGCACAGCCCACACCTGGCCTGGGCCGGCCCTGAATAACACGATATCACAATTCACAACAATCAATAAGTCAACAACTAGATGCATTTATAGGTTTTTGGAGGTGACATAGTCAAATACCCGACCAAGTATATATAATACTCCATGTGATGGGGTATGTCGGTTTACCCAATCAGATTTGATACTCGAGTCAAGTCCATACCCGATCGAGTATATGCTATACCCAACTGGGTATATGACTAATTTCTCAAATCTTCACTTCATTTTGTTTCCTTTCACTTTCCTTAACCTTCCAAGGATCTCTTTGATGATCTTTACCTGATTTTAGCTCAGAATAATCCTAATCTGAATAAATTACAAACAACTAGGAAAATAAAGTATTACACCAAAAGCATGTAATTTCCCATACAATAACAAACAAAACTAGTTAAAATTACAAATATAAAAAATAATAACTCTATACTATCAGTAGTATTATAGAGTAGCATTGTCGAAATTTGGATGGAGGAGGAGGCCGAAAGGGTGGCCTTTGGCAAATCAACATGGGTGAAGGTTGGCGGTGGTAATGGGCCTGGATTCTCCTTGACGCGGTCTGATAGGGTTCTCGCCCTTGTGCGAGTGTTAAAGAATAGCCACACGGATGGTCCAATGATGCAGCAAGCAAGCGAGCAAGTGAGGTAATTCTGATGGCGAATCTCGAGGTACAATACGTCAAACTTGCTATGGCAGAGAATGAGGCTCTAGATGAACCAAAAAATGGGCTCTGAATACTTGACCCGCCTCGGTCTCTCTGGTGATTTTCTCTCTCTCAAACTGTAGTTCTCGGGTCGTCAATGGTCTGGGATGGTCCTTTAATTCTAGTTGGTATTTTTATGTTGTAGTAGTAGTTCTTTTGAGTCGGACTTCGTGTTGCTTGTGTTTTTTTTTTCAGTTTTCTTAAGTAAAAGGAGATTTGGGTGAGTGGCAAGAAGTCTTTTTGGATCCGTTTTGGTCAATTGTGCCCGTTTTGTGACTCTCTGTCTTGATATAACTTGCTTGAGTTCCAATGTTAAGTATAAATCATTTACAATATAAAAAAGGCCTTAATTATTTTAAGCCATAGTGGTTTTCCAAATTGGACTTCTAGTGTCAAATTAAAGGGTTGAATTTGCTGAAATATGAAAATTATAGTTAAAATCCCCAATATTTTTTGGGACTAAGGCTTGGATGTTGTTGTTGTATGAAAATTATAGTTCAAATATACTATATTTAGTACTCCGATATTAATAATGTAAATAAAAAAAAGTTAAAGTAGTCCTCTTAGGCAAATTCATCCATAAAAGTTACTCCAACATTTTGTAATTTTATTACTACAATTGAAAGCGCGAAATCGAAGACCGGCTCTTAATACTCAACTTTAGAAAATATGTTGGGAAAGAATCAACTTTGAAATCCTTACCCAAAATATATGTGTTTTTGTAATGTAAATATATATAATTGACCAAAAAATACACTCCATCAAGACTCATGAGCATCACATATCCCTTGCTCCATGCATCAAAAACTCAAAATAGTGTGATATAAGATGATTTTAATAGAGTATTTATTATTTAGAAGTTTCCTTGTATTAGGTTTCCTTTTATATTATGTTTCCTAATGTACTCTAAACACTTCTCTATATAATATACACCCAGGGCTACCATATTGGGTAAGTCATTCCATTATTCTCACATGGTACCAAGAGCATTAGAGTTTTAACCTATTTTTTTTCGATCCAATGTCGTCCGAAGAAACTGCCGCTGCCGCCGCCTCTCACGTTACCGCCGCCGCCGGATCCACACCGGTGACGGAATCGTCTGGGGTGAGCACCGTTTCCCCGTCACTCTCTTCCGCACCTCTGGCGCCGTTTTCCATCCCTAGCGTGCAGCCGAGTCCGAGTTTTCCATCTGCGCCGCCGTCTACATGGGTCCCACCTATTTTTACATGGACACCAACGGTTCCGAGCCTGCAGTCCGTGTCGTAGCAGTCCTCCTTCATCGTTGGCGAGTCCAGCAACTCCGCCGAACGAAGGTTTGCCGGTCCTACACTCTCGGGCAGTCCGGGTCTACTGCTGCCATCCTCAACCGGGCCGATTGGACGTCGAGAGGTTCCACCCCTACCTAACTCATTTGCATCTCTTGGTCAAGGTATGGGTTTTGGAGCTTCCTCTATTACTACTATTGTCACAATCAAATTATTGGATGTTGAGGATTACTTACCCTGGCGCACTCAGTTTGAATCATTCCTGGTCCCTAATGGTTTTTTTTTATCTCAGCAAAAATATGTGTCTGATCTCCTAACTCGGTTTCATCTTCATACTCTTAAACCTGTACGCACCCCACTCCCTTCTAGAACCAAGTTATCTTTCACTGATGGTGAACTTCTTGCAGATCCTACGGAATACAGAAGTATGGTAGGTGCTTTACAGTATTTGACTATGACTCGACCTGATATTACTTTTGTTGTTCACCTGGTTTCCCAATTTATGCATTCTCCCCGTACTTCACATATTTTGGCTGTTAAGCGTATTTTTAGGTACCTCCAAGGCACTCCAGATCATGGCCTACCGCTTCAACCCGATCGCTTCTCACCCACTGTTCAGGCTTATTCTAATGCTGATTGGGCCGGGTGTCCTAATAGTAGCCGATCCACATCTGGTTTTGCTATTTTCTTGGGTCCTAATCTGATTTCTTGGAAATCCAAGAAGCAGCCCACTGTTTCACGTTCTTCTACAGAAGCAGAGTACAAGGTCATTGCTTACACAGTTCAAGATACACTACACATCCGGTCCATTTTGTTCGAGTTAGGGGTACCTATACGTGAACCAGTTCGGTTGTTATGCGATAATGTATCTGCTTCATATTTATCCACTAATCCTATTCAGCATGCACACAGCAAACACATCACCATTGATTATCATTTTATCAGGGAGCGTGTTTCTCATGAAGACCTTGTAGTACGCTATGTTCCTACACAGTTTCAGCTAGCTGATATCTTCACCAAGTGCTTATCTCCTCAACGGTTTATTTTTCTTAGAGACAATTTGCGCG